GGGAGAAATAAGGAAGAAACTCATCTCCACTCTTCATGACTCTCAGCTAGGAGGTCATTCAGGGGTACAGGCCAGCTGGATGAGAGCAAAGCAGCTGTTTCACTGGTCAGGTATGTTTAAGGAAATCAAAACAGCTATACTACAATGTGATACTTGCAGGAGGTGCAAAGATGAACGTGTGACCTATCCAGGCCTCCTCCAGCCACTACCTATCCCACAACACTCCTGGAGTCACATCACTATGGATTTCATAGAGGGCCTGCCTAAATCAGAAGGGAAGGACACCATCATAGTGGTAGTGGACAGGTTCACTAAATATGCCCATTTCCTGAGCCTCACTCATCCTTTTGATGCTTCTAAGGTAGCTAGACTTTTCTTGGACCATATCAGCAAACTGCATGGCATGCCCCAAAGCATAGTCTCAGATAGGGACAAAGTCTTCCTCAGTCATTTCTGGACTGAATTGTTCACATTACAAGGAGTAAGGTTGGACATGAGCACTGCTTACCATCCACAGACAGATGGCCAAACAGAAAGGGTAAACCAAGTCTTGGAAATGTACCTCAGGTGCATGTCCCATTTGGAGCCCAAAAGATGGAACACTTGGCTGTCATTGGCAGAATGGTGGTATAATACTACCTACCACACTGCCATCCAGATGACCCTTTTGAGGCCTTGTATGGATCTAAACCCCCTCAGCTAGCCTTAGGCCCCTATGAGCAAGCTAAGGTGGCAACAGTGGGTGATTACTTAAGGGACAGAAAGCAGATGGACGAGCTGCTACAACATAATCTGAAGGCTGCTCAGGAGAGGATGAAAAAATATGCTGATGAACACAGGAGTGAGAGAGAATTCCAGGTGGGTGATTGGGTCTACTTAAGGTTACAACCTTACAGGCAGTCGACAGTGATGATGAGGAGTAATACCAAGCTATCTGCTAAATATTTTGGGCCCTACCTCATTGAGGAGAAAATTGGTAAGGTGGCCTATAAGCTTAAGTTACCTACTGAGTCCAGGGTACACCCTGTGTTCCATGTCTCCTTGTTGAAAAGGAAACTAGGAGATAGGACCACACCCATCTTACAGCTCCCAGATACTGACGAAAGGGGACTGATCAGAGTCGAACCAGAAACTTTGCTTGGTAGGAGAATGATCAAAAGAGGGAATGCTGCTGTCTCTCAGTGGCTAATACAATGGTGGGGAACTGAACCTGCAGATGCAACTTGGGAGGATGCTGTGATGATCAGAGAAAAGTTTCCTCAATTTCAACCTTGAGGACAAGGTTTGCTTCGAGGGGGAGGTATTGTAATGGAATGGAAAACTTATCTAAGGACAGAGGCAGGAACCAGCTAACTGAAGCAATGAAGGCGTGAAGATCAGCAGAAGAAGGCGTGATCAATGGACCAGAAGTCATCAAAGGCGTGAACCAAGAACCACGCCTTTCCTGGGTTTCAGCCTTCATAACAGAAATTCAAAACGCGCGGCAACTTGCAGATGCTTGGGACACGTGTATCGCCCTCAGTGGTCTAGCTAGAATTAGTTAGGATTTGTTAGTATTAAAGAGCAGGCATGTCTGCTCTGTGAGGTAGCTTTTGAAATTATTTGTCTAGATTCATCTGTATTGACTTGAGGAGCAATCCTCAGCTTCCCTCCCAATTTTTCCTTCAATTCTTTCCCCTTCTTAGCTTTTACCGCCATTTCTGTTCTTAAAATTGTTATCACGATTTGATTAATAGAAGTTCAGATTCTTACAGTGAACTACTCTACTGATTCATTGTTTATTGATTCATCCAATTGGATTCATTCTTCCCTGGTTCCTGCAAAAGGGACTCTGGCTTCTCTGGTGTCTGTACCATAACAGACTCTTCATGTACAGGATGAACAGAATTGATGGTGTTTCACTACTGTAGTATTAGGTTCATAAACCTGCAGATGGCTGTAAATCAGAAGATGAATTGATCTGGATGTTTTCATCAAGTTTACAAAAGCTATATTGATGTTAAAATGACAAAACAATTGATCTGGATGAATTGTTGCTGTATGAGAAGAAGGATGAAAGAATTCATTGTACATGCACATAAACTAGCACTTCATATTTGACCGCAAAAGTGGTGTGGTAAATTGTTTAAATCTAGCTCAGCTGGTAGAACATCGACCCTGTTGCACTGGAAGTATGGCTGGGAGTTGTACTTGAACTGTTGAACCAGCACAGAAAGACAAAATTGAAAATATCAAATGTGTAGAGTTCATATTATTTTATCTGGTGGATGTTGAGAACCATCAATTGCAAAAGCAAATAAAACATTCTACGGACAACTCAGCCAGGTTCAAAAGAATGTCAAAGAGTAACATACAAAAGTTCAAAACTTAAAAATAAGTTCGCTCCTCTACATAATCAATTTTTCATAGACTGGTTCTGTCTAGTTGCCTACCGTCAAACATTTTAGATCCAGTCCCTTTTTATTCTCAATCCTGATGTGTATATCAGGAAATAGAAGGGAAGATGTTTGCTAAGTTTCTTTCCTTCTTTTGTTTTTTGACAATCTCAGCTGATCGGTAATGCAAATTAGTGTTTATTCTTTTCCTTCATTTATTCCTTCATTGATACATGTCTCTGATATGGCCTATAGAAGGCCTAAAATGTGCCGCTTCTTAGAAAAACAGTAACACACAAGTATAACATGTTTAAATTGTATTGCTACCTCATAGGTACAGACTAGTAGCATCTCAAATCCAGATAAACAGAAGTGATGTAGCTCCAATATTTTATAGTTGAGAGAATCAGTTCACCTTCTTGCCTCAAAATGGAAACGAAAAGAAAAAAAGAACCAAAATGAAAAAATGAACATAGCAAAAGGGTGCATATACAGTAGAACTATGTAAAATCCATAACACATTATTGACTGCTAGGTGTTGAAAAGACGGCCGAAATTCTGAACCAAAAGAAAATAATTCAAAAGAAACGTGTTTGCTAATTTCCTTCCTCCTAGATTTTTAATTTTAATAAATCAAGTGGACACTATTTTATGGTATTAGACTATTGGCAGTGACCTTTGCTTATATGTCTCCTTTCAATAAATTGACGTGATTTCTATGTTAATCTTTCTCTAGTCTTTCTTAATCATTCAATTCCTTTCATATAGTCAGTACTACTAATATAATAATGTTTTCAGTGGTTGAAAGTCCATTTGGGTGGCAGAAATTGCCTCATATAGTTTGTCTTGTTGATTTTGTTCGCATTTTGCTGATATTTAATCATCATTCCACTGAGCTTTTCACTCTGAAAACAGAAGGGTTGACCAAACAAGTGTGGCATTTTGAATTCTTGTATTGCTGCACGGAAATCTCTGATGGCCTTCTCTCCACTTGTGTTGATTCGATCTTACTCAATCTGGAGATTTTTTTTGCTAAAATGGATGTTCAGGAGTTGCTGGATAACAATGCAGAAATCGATGCATTCGACCAGCTATTGGAGATAGAAGATAATTTGGAAGTCCTGAAGCTGGAGTTGAGACTTGTCAGAACAATTTTTATCTGTGCCAGAATATTATGGAGCAATCCAGAACCTTCAGAGAAGATTATTGATCGTGAGGTACGTCTGGGATCTTTCTTGTTTAGCCTCCAAGATTCTGTTCAAAAAAATGCTATGGAGTCGCACTCTCTTTCCCTTAGACTGGAAGAGGATGCATTCTCATTACTTAGTGATGCCTTTAAGTTGGTCCAGGATTGTCAAAATAACATCTATTCTTTTAAACAAGATTTTGACAAATTCTACATCACTTTGTTGGGTTGCTTATCGCAATCCAGCTCGGCTGCTTTAAGAGATCATGAACTCATGGAATTTATGGATTCCCTGTTAGAGAATCTAGTCAATATTCTCTTACAGGATGATTGTTATGGAGATGTGCAGCTACTAATTCATGCTCTTCAAGAAAGATAAAGTTCTTGAAAAGTTTTATTGTCTTTGCCATTTATCGAGGGGTTGAGGAAAGGCAGTTGGCAGATGTCTTGGCTCACTCTCAAGTTGTAGCTGTCAATGCAGCATACCTCTCTTGCCTGTGTTGGTTTGACAAGGCTGAAGAAGAAGTCCATGATAAAGTGAAGTTGAAGATTTCTGACCTCTTGGATGGGATCAAGCCCATTGATCCCAGAGCCCATGAGATTTATATCCAAGTCCTGACTGCTCCAGGATTATCAGGATCACCGCCCACTCTGAATTTGGTGACAATCAGCAGTGTATTGGGGGACTTTATTGATTCTCTCCTGGGAAATATTTGGGACCTACTACACTGCGGTAGGAGTTTTATGGTTTCCATGAAGATACTTTATGAGGACTACGATTCTTGAGAACCATTCTCAAGAATCAGCAGGTGAAGTTCGATGAGTTGGATGAACAAATGATCGATCTTATCGTAGTTGTTGTCAATGAGGCAGGGATTATAATTTGCTCTCTTTTTCCAAACCACATAGCCAAGGGAATGGATCTGGCAGTCACTGAATTTTTGGAAAAGATCACACTTGTTAAGGCAGACTTAGCCCCCATCTATCCTAGAACATCAATATTCAGCTTTCCAAGTACCAGAGAACTGGACTTCATTGATCTTCTCCTAGAGAATCTAAAGGGACTGGCAAACAATATAGTCTATTCAGTTTCTCTTACAAAGGATAGAGTTCAAGAAGTGGAAGAAGATCTTGAATTCTTAAAATCTCGCTTTGAGAATGTTGCGAAGTATTACAACCAGCATGAAAAGCCCCAAGTTCTTTGGAGTAGCATTATAGAAGTGACAATCAGGGCAGAGTTTGTCATTCATTCCTTGAGAGGAGGAGATCTATCTGATTCTTGTTGCATTCCTTTTAACACCATCGCAGAAGATATTAAGCTTATCAAGGCTGAGGTCTTAGAGATTGATGACCAAGAACAAGGCTTCATATCCAAGAAAGCTGTCAAGATTTCGAGTTCTGTGCCATGAGAAAGTGGTATCTCAAAAACAAATGAAGTTATGGTAGCTCTATCTGATCAGATAGAGATAGTGACCACTTTACTTGTAAGAGGATCAAAGAAATTGGAAATTGTTTCCATTCTGGGTATGCCTGGACTGGGTAAGACCACTTTAGCCAAGAAACTTTACAATGATCCTTCTGTCAGATGCCATTTTCATACTTTTGCTTGGTCTACGGTTTCTCAAGTATATAACGGAAAAAATTTGTTACTTGAGATTTTGGTTTGTATTGTTCCTAAGCTTTCTGAACAATATGCTAAAATGAAAGAAGTTGATTTGGTTGAAGAACTCTACAAGCGTTTGAAGAGAAATAGGTATCTCATAATTTTGGATGATTTGTGGGATGGTGAAGCTTGGACACTCATGGAAAAATCATTTCCTGATGATGCTAATGGTAGTAGAATTCTCTTAACAAGTAGAAATCACAAGGTGGCTTTGCATGTTGGACCTACTAATAAACTTCACCATCTTCGCTCACTCACTGATGAAGAGAGCTGGGAATTGTTACGAAAGAAGGTATTTCATAATGAGGAGTGTCCTCCAGCACTACATGAGCTTGGAGTGCAAATAGCAAAAAACTGTAAGGGGCTACCTCTTATAGTTATCATCATAGCTGGAATTCTTGCAACGAGAGAGCCTGATGGCTGGGAAGAAGTTGCTCAAAGGTTGAGCTCCTACACTGTTTTGGGCACAGAAGAGTGCAGGGATATACTAGAGCTGAGCTATAGAAATTTGCCTGATTATCTGCAGCGATGCCTTCTTTACTTCGGAGCATTTAAAGAAGACCAAGAAATTCCAATTTGGAGGTTGAAGTATTTATGGATCGCTGAAGGGTTTGTGCAAGAAACTGAAATGAAGAGTTTAGAGGCTGTGGCTGAAGAGTACATGATTGATCTAATTGACAGAAGCTTGGTCATGGTTGCCAAAAGAAGATTCCTAGGCAAGATTAAGACTTGCCATATTCACGATCTGTTGCATGAGTTTTGTGTCCTTAAAGCTAAAGAAGAAAACTTTTTGCGGTTCTTGCATGGGAATGATGACTCGTGTATCTATAATGTGTCAAGCAATATACATCGTTTGGGCATTCACTCCAAACTAGAGCTGTTCGAGAGGTCGATCCTATTTTGTCCTCGACTGCGCTGTCTGTTGCTCTCTGCTGATGGCTGCAGGTACCCATTTCAACAGCCAAACATCTCATTTGTCTTTCACATCTTCAAACTCCTCAGGGTGTTGGATTTGGGGCAGTTCAATGTAGGTGATCGTTTTCCAAGTGAAGTAGAATTGCTTGTGGAGTTGCGTTTTTTGGCAATAAAAGGTACCATGCGCTCCATCCCATCATCCATAGCTAACCTTTCTAATTTGGAAACTTTTCTGTTGGATTCAAATGATGCTGCATTGCCCGATACAATATTGAACATGAACAAATTGAGGCATCATGGTTCGAAGTCTCGGCCGAGACCGAGACGACTCGGCCGAGTCGTCACCGTCTCGGTCCTACCGATACGATACCGTGACGAAACGATACCGAGATATTTGACTCGCCGAGAAATCGACCGAGACGTCACCGCGACGGATTGACTCGGCCGAGTCACTCCGAGTCATTACGAGTCAAGACAAGAAATTGGCCGAGTTACACCGTGACGGATTGACTTGGCCATTTCTTTTGCTATTTTTTAATATTTTGTTTAGCATACTTTTTTTATATTATTAACAATTTTAGAATAGTAAATACTTTAAAATTTACGTCTCACCGAGATCGCGACCGATATGCCGAAACCGATGTGGAACGTTCCGGGCCGCAACCGTGACCGCGACCACGACTTTGAACCATGATCTTCACACAATTGCTCAGCATACGAGGTTTTCTTTCGAGAAAGTCAATCTTGACAGCTCATCCATTCTTCATAGTTTAGACACCTTGAGCACTGCATGGATTTCTTATGGACAAGGCATTGAAAAGATTGTGAGAAAGTTCCCAAATATCCGTGAACTAAAATGCGAGCTCGATTATGAGAAATTAGAGGCATCTACTGAGAACAGAGGCAGCATTGTGGATTTAAGTTTTCTGAATAGACTGGAGTCCCTCAGTATTATTCATGATGACTATGCTACAATATGTAAGATTGAGTATCATTTCCCTTTGAATCTGAAAAAGTTGACTCTTTCTTACTTCCCTTGTGGTACAGTCTCCACACTTGGAAAACTACCCAATCTTGAGGTCCTCAATTTGTCCTATGGACCCCATGATTGGAAAATATGGGAAATGAAAGAAGGGGAATTCCCTAAACTCAAAACCTTGAGAATGGGCGCATTGTGCACATTGAGATGGATAGGATGTGATGATAGCCTTCCCTGTCTTGAGAAGCTAGTGCTCTCGAGATGTGAAAAACTGACAGAGATCCCTTCTTGCTTATGGTATGCTTCCACTCTTGAAGTTATCATGGTGCAGCAGTGTTCAGACTTTCTTACAAGCTTAGTATGCGAGATTGAGGATGAGCAGAGGAGCATGGGGAATGAAGATCTCAAGGTTCACATCATTCCAGAGGAGAAGAGCGATTCTGAAGCAGAATAAATTTGTACTCATGTCAGATGTAAGTGGTAAAATCATTCCTAGCTTTTGATTCATGAAGAAGATATTTGGCAGGAGTATCTTGCATACTCAAAATTTTGTTAGACAGAAAAATGGAGGAGGAAAACAAAAAGAGATTGAGTATCTCTCTAGATTTTACTCACTGAATCATGAATTTTATTGTGATATTAATGCATGAGATGCTAGAGCTTGTAAATAATTAGTAGGATTTTGTATTTAGAGAAAAGAAGAACTTGCACAATTTAGGGGCTAGATGACCATCTCTGGAATTTGTGGCTAATTTTTTTTCACTGTAAGAGTTATATAAACATATCCGTTTTAGCATCAAACCAATCTGTTAATTTTAACGATGAATCGATTTCTCCTGAAGCCATTTCCTGTAAATCTTCCAGCCTCTTTTCTTTCTCATTCAATCTGCAGGAGGGGATACTAGAAAAAGGACCAAATATCCTCCTTTTGGTATTGCATGACTCAGACCATACCAAACTTGTTTGTCTAAATAGCCACTGTTTAAGGAAGAGCACAACATTTCCACAGCTGATCAAGCTGCACATTAGTTTTTCTTAAAATCTCTAAAAATCTCTTCGTTTCACACAATAGATAACTGTGTTACATGTTATGATATAGGTGATTACTTTTGTAATAACTTGACACTGATCAATATGTTGCTTTTACTTTGGCTTTAAGATACAAAAAAGTCAGTCACGAGGAGCTGAAGACATTGGAAGGAGTTGTTGTTGTCCTGTAACAGTTCAACAGAGGACCTTGGCTCTTAATATTTGGCAAGTTGAGTATTATTGGGAATTTGTAATTCTTATCTAACAGTCGAGAGGATGGTTCATTTCCTGGTTTGCCAATCCAGCAACATAAAGAAATAGAAGGCGATCATTCATCGACAGAGGACAAGAAGAAATCTCCATCTGCAGCAGTTTCTAGTCCAAGGTTTCATATTCTTTCTTAAGAAATTATGTCTAGCAAGCCCTTCACCAATGAGCAGATTTCTTGGTCTATCAGAGTGTTTCCTTGATACCTGGTTTTAGTTTTTCATTGCTTGTTTGTCATTTTATTTTCTATTTAATGTTTCACTCTGGTGATTTTTTTTGTTTTTTACTGTTTCTGTTTTGTCTCTCAAAGTAAGAGAAATGTACTCTTGATGTAACTTCATTATGTTTGGTTGGTTGATGAATAAGTTCTCAAAATGTTACAAGGAAGCTGCAACAGAAAACACTTCCACAGGTGACAAAATTGTGCAGTAATATACAGAAGTCACATAAATACACCGGAATTTCCTTGGTGTTTTCTACCTAAGCCTTCTTGTTTGGCCTGATGGAACTAGGCATATAATGTTACTTATCCTAGTGTCTTATCGTGTTTCTCTAACCCTTTGCTTGCAATATTTCTATTTTTTTTTTCATACAAGATAAGATGATCCAATATGAGGGTAGGTATTTACTCCTCCCAATCATCAGTGGTTGAATGCACAACGTTAATTAAGTTTCCATTTGCCATAATGTTGGCGTCTAAACAAACTTTTTGTTGCTGAAGAAGATGACCAAATCCCTTCAGCCTCAAACAATTGAAAAATACGTAAATTACAAATCTCTTATCGTTTTAAATTGGATATAAATCATGAAAAATTAGATCCTACCCAAACCCTATCCAGACGCATGTTTCTTTTATTGGATCTGGGTCTGGTTAGGATTTGAATTTGAAAAATTAAATCCAACCCTACCCAAATATATTAGATCTAGATTGAATTTGGATAAGATCCTGTCCATTAACATACTTATTACTTACGTGTGATCGTAATTGATAGTAGTGTAAACAAATGCAAACTTCAAGGATGGTGATTAAACCATCTTTTAATTTGAAACGTCAAAGTTTTTATGCATCTAACCAGAATTTAGCTACACTTTGTTTTGGTTAATTGTCCAAATATTGGTATTCTTAGATCAAAAGAAAATAATGAAGATTTTGTTGGCCTTCCATGATTAAAGGAAAAGATACCTAAGGGATTCAATTTCTCTACAACCAACAATTACAGTAAGTAATGGTTACAGAGTGCAATTAATGGTAACAAATTGTAGTGTATTTTGAAATTGGAGGGACCGAGGGAGGAAATTTAATTTTGAATACAAATTTTAATGTGTAAAAAAACTATTGTGATTTTGCATTTTATTATTTACATTTTTTGTATCAGTAATTACATTTGTTGTAATAATGTCTACACATCATGAGATGATAAGAAAGTTTCCAAATATCCGCGAACTGAAATGCTATCTCCTAGAATCAGAGGAATCTACTAGTGACAGTATTAGGGACGACAACAGGTGCGGGTGCTCGCGGGGGCCATTGGGGCGGGGGAAGGTGGAAATTTTTTTCCCCGGTTAGAATGGGGCGGGGGAGTATACCCCCGCCCCACCATCCGTTTGAAATATATATATATATATATATATATGTACATAATTATGTATATAATGATATTATTAATTATACATATCTATTAATAAAAATTATCAATTATTTATACTAAATTTATTAATACATTTATTTTAAATTCCTAACTACACTTAATACAATAACATTTTTTTCTAAAAAAAAATACAATAATAATTTATTGATTGTATTTGTATCAAAAGTGAAAACTTGATTATTTTAGTTATATTTGTTTTATCATATTAGATTGTTTTTAAATAACCTTTGTTTAATTATTTTTATGAGTTTTAATTGTGAAGTTACAATGAATAATAATTTGACAATATGTTGATATTTTAGTACTTGATTATTTGCTCAAATAGAATTATAATGAAATTATATAATAAAATTTTTTTAACCCCGTGGGGCAACGGGCGGGGAAGCCGGGCCGGGAGCGGGGGGACATTGCCACCCCTAGACAGCATCAAGATTGTGGCAATGGACTCTCTCAGGCAACTAGAATCACTAAAGCTGCTTCTTGCCCAGGAGAGTGCACATCATATTGAATTCCTTCTCCCCTCAAATCTTAGACGGTTGACCCTGGTGGACTTTTCTTGGAGTATACTTTCCACCATTGGAAAGCTATCCAGTCTCGAGGTTCTCAAATTAATCAGACAAGCCGATGGTGATGGGATCAAGGAATGGGACATGGAAGAAGGACTCTTCCCCAATCTCAAAGTCTTGAAACTGAAATCCTTGAATATTGTCAGCTGGAAGGGCTCGGGAGATAACTTTCCCTGTCTTGAGAAATTAGTTTTGGAAGATTGTGTGGAATTAGAAGAACTTCCTTCTTGTTTATGGGAAACATCAACTCTTCAGTTGATCAAGGTGCACGGATGTATATACTCTATTGGAGATTTAGTTCGAGACATCAAGGGACAGCAGATGGACTATGGAAATAAGGATTTAAAATTCCTTATCTCAGGAGAAATAGAGGATACTTCTTCATGGTCCGATTGAGATTTCAAGTTAGGGACAAGGTACTCCGAAAGATCATCCACCATAAGAGTGAACATGTTCCAATGGCTTTGTTTAGAATGATGTGATCTTTTTGCTTTATTGCATATGTAGGTTACTAAAAAATTGATTGTGCAAAAGTTGGTGTTCAATATACTTTGTGCCAGATGGTTATGACTATAAAGCATCTGTGGAATCCATGTTGTGTAAGATATCACAGAGTTGTTTGTCGAAAACATGTTCCATATTAGCTTTACTTGAAAATGGTAATACAGAATCTGTTGCAATCTTGTATTGATGCTTAGTCATGTGTGGCGTGTCATGGAACATAGAGGCTATGGATGCGATGCTGTGTCTAATGCTTTTTGCTTGTATCACCTGTGCAGCTCTGTGAATTGACTCTTGTGATGCTGGTCTGTTTAGTTTGTGTTAGGAAAGGTTGCTGAGTCTGAGATGCTGGTCTGGAATATTATGATAGGTCTAATTTGATACTTGATGATTAGTCTTGTGTCATAAATATTGGTCTCAGCATTTGATGATTAATCTTGTGTTATTATCCTTTGACTGCAAGTTAAGGGCAAATGAAAAAACTATAAGCCTTGTTTAGCAAGTAAGTTTTTGGCCAAATTTGTTTACTACAAGTTTCTTAACAACTTTAATTACAGTAATCTCAAAAAAATTTTTAAAATATTCAAAAATTTATACATTTCAAAAAATTTTTCTACAACTTCTACAATAAATTACAGCAAAGTTTTAGACAAATACCCAAAAAAACTCACTTGCCGAACGGGCCACATTATAGTTTCTGGCAATTGATACCATATGAAAGCAAATGGAATATACATGTTTTTGTCTCTCATACTGCGCTGTGAGCTAAGTGGAAACGATTGAGACTACAAGGACTAAATAGGAAATGGGGCCTATAATCAATTCCAATATGCATCAGAAGATTTTTATTTTGCTATTTTTTGTTTCTGCATTACACACTAAAAAGGCAACAAGGATGGCCAGAAACCTAGAGAAGAGAAACAGATAATCAAATCAAAATCTGAAGTTCCCCATGCAAGTTGAAAGAAGTTGCAGCAGTTAGACCAAATCAACCACTGGTAGCATTGGTTTCTTCAAAACCATGCAATCATCTATTGAGAGGCAGATATATGCAATCACTTTTCTTACTTTTTCTCGTATTAGAATTTCAATTGGAAAAATTGGGGTTGACTTGACATAATCAATAGTCACTGGGTGGCTGATAATAAAAAAAGTTTATTTCTAGGGTAGAAAGTGTGGAGGCCAATTGTGTATTTGTCCGCCTCAGCAACGAGTGCTTGGAGGGGGGCCTCCCCAGGATTCGAACCACTAGCCCAAGTGGTACCAGGACTGGGGCCTTTTTTGTGGAGGCCAATTGTGTATTTGTCCGCCTCAGCAACGGGTGCTTGGAGGGGGGCCTCCCCAGAATTCGAATCCTGGTCCTTTGGGGTAAAGGTCTTGGGGTTGAAGTCCTGGTACCACTTGGGTTAGGTTCGAATCCTGGGGAAACCCCTCTCCAAGCACCCGTTGCTAAGGCGGACAAATACACAATTGGCCTCCACAGAAAGCAATCTCAGAGCACACTAGTTTAATTTCAAACAAAGAATTTCTTGCAATCACTTTCTGAGCCTAAATGCAAAAAATGCAAAAAGAAGAAGAACAAAAAGAAGGAAATTATGTGCGCCATTTCTTTACTTACTTCACACGTTAAGTTCAGCATGAGTTAATGTTGAACATCTTACCTGATGCAGTAGTTAGTTTTTGGTAATGAGGACATGCAAAAACAAGTAATTCTCGATGCCAAGTTTGGTCTCTCTCTCTCTTACATATAGGACTACAATAAAGAAATATGGGTTAGAAAATCAAAAGCAGCCCATAATAAGTAAAGAATATTTAAGAGAAGTATAAAGATACTTTTATCAAAACGTTATCACATTTCCATGTTTTCATGCCATGTTTCCTTAATTTTCAAATTGTATTAATGCCTGTTGGGGAAATGGTTGTATAAAATATAAGAGAAAGAATAATAGTAAATGCACGATATATGTTGTTTCTCTTCTTCACCATATTCTCGACATTACCAAAGGTTCTTGGAGTAGCCTCTCTTTATTGCATCCTTCGGGGAAATTGGCATGATTTCAGACGTTAGTCTTCAAATAAAGCACCATTTTTTTATTAGAAAAAAAAAGTAGTAAAAGGATGAATTTGTCTATTTATTAGTTTGACTTTGATTTTTTTACTATTGATTATTAGTTTCAACTGAAAAAAATTAATAGTTACACTTTGAATCAAATCATGACGGAGTTATATTTGGGTTTTTAAATTATATGGGGTTATGTGATAAAACACCAAACTATAGGGGAGTAAAAGATAATTTACCCTTTAAATTCCATTTTTTTTGTCAAATTTTTTAATCAAAATGGTTAGTTGGCTAATAGCAGTGTACATTGTTACAAGAAGAACGTATTTATTATATTGATTGAGTGAAAAAAAAGTACTTATATTTAGTTGCGTTTAAAAAAAAAAAACACTTTTGCAAAGTTGATTGACAAAAAAATATGTCAAGAGGCCTTTTGAAACATCAGAATTTAGAAATTTTGGATGCTAATTACTTTTTTCCAGGTTTTTCAATCCCGTCCCTCCTCTCTTCTGATAGAGAAAATTTTTTAAAAAATAGTGACAAAAAATAACAGTTTTAATTGGTTGGATTATCAATATTACTAAAATAAAAATTTTAATGACTAATAACAGAAATCTTTTCGTAGTTTAACGGCCATTTGTTACATTTTGCGTAGAAGAACATGGTAATACCAGCTAAGTGTCTGGTTTTGTACTAATAGTGAAACAAAAGAAAAATAGTATGGTTGACCCCAAAATCAACCACGCGGTAGTATTAGTTTCTTGAAATCGATATGACATTTTATCGAGAGGAAGAAGAACGCAGAAAAGTTTTCCCTGCTTCAATTTTTTCAGATCTCAGAGCACTGGAAGAACGATCATGGAAAGCAGAAAACTGTGGATGGACTGCATCATTGTAATCGATTCAACGTCACAGAAACTGCGGTCACTGGTGAGGAGGCGATGTCATTTCACCAGGGATAATCAAGGCTTGAATGAGCTGATGGTGGAGCTAAGACTGGTGAAAACATTTCTTGTGTGTGCCAGGGAATTGGCATATTTCTGGTTTAGCCTTGGCTATCCTGAAAATTCAAAACTGGGGCTGTTTTATCATCTTCTTCGCCGACTGGAGAATGGATTGCCCCGCATCGACCCAGCTGGCGCAGCCTCTAGTTGTGGAGATACTCTGGAGAATGTTAAGCAAGAAATCAGTGATGCTTATGTTGAGATGTTAAACTCCGTATGGCTACCCGTTTTTCTGTCTGAATACAGATGGCGTCTTTTAGATTACGAGCCTTCGCTGTTTAGAGGGAGAGAATTATATTCCAAACTGCTTGATTGCTTGTTGAAATCCAGTTCTCCTAGGATAGAAGAATTCATGGAATTCCTAGACTCCTTGCTAGAGAATCTTGTGGATATTAGCTTCATGGGTGAAGCCTGTGATTCCAGATTTGAAACTTTATTCGAACCCTTATTCGAAGCCCTTCAAGAGAAGCTAGTATTCCTTAAAAATTTTATTCTCTTTGCCAGGATGCAAGGCAAGCTTGATGAAGCACAGAAGGAACTCATGAAGCACTGTGGAGTTGTGGCTTTATCTGCAGCACATCTCTGTTACGCTTTTTGGTTTTTTAGGGATGATGATGAAGTGCTTGGTGGAGTGGAATTAAATATTTCACTATCAATAGAGAAGATCAAGCCAGTTTATCATGAAGTCCGTTCGGCTTACATTGGCGTATTGAAATTTCAATCAGCATCCCTCACTCTGTCTACCAAAGCGATATGTTTATAGTGGGGGATTTTGTAGATTCTCTCCTAGGTAATCTTTGGGAGTTGCTACAAAATTGTCCTGCCGCTTTTATGGTATCCCTGAAGCATCAAATGCAGGCACTCTATGATGGACTGCGATTCTTGAGAAACATTCTCAAGAAGCAGCAAGAGAAGTATGATGGACTAGATGGAAGAACCAAGGATCTTGTTGGAGCTGTGGTCAATGATGCTGGTGTTGCAATTTTCTCACTGTACCAGAAAGGAATTGAGGAAGTCTTGGCCAAGGAAATAGATGCTACGATATTTTGCTTATTGGACAAAATTGAGCTTATCAAGGAAGAAGTTGAGAAAAAGCATCCATTGGCATTAAAGTTTGATGTTTCGACAACCAACACACTGGAGCTTATTGATCTTCTCCTAGAAAATTTGAAGGAGCTGGCAAGCTGTAAAGTTGATGCAGTTTCTTTTGCAGAGGATAGAGTTAACTTCTTAAGATCGTACTTGAAGAAGACCGTGAAGCATCCCACCAGGCATCCAAACCTCCATCTTCAAAATATGCAAGAGGATCTTTTATTCTTAAGATCATTCATGGAAAATAATTTGGAGCAGCTCAACCAGAACGAAAAGCTCCCAATTGAAACAATGCAGAATGATCTTGTTTTCTTAAGATCATTCTTGGAAAATAACAGGGAGCAACACAACCAGCATGAAGAGCTCCAAGCTATTTGGAGTCAGGTTATTGAGGTGGCACACAAGGCAGAGTTTGTTATCGACTCCTTAGTAGTTGGAGATGTGTCATTTTATTCTCTGATGTTACTTGACAACATCACAGAAGAAATTAAGCTTGTTAAGAGTGAAGCCCAGAATGCAACCACAATCTCGAAGCATGTGACATCACAAGGTAACATTTCAATTTTCAACAATAATTGCAACAATGGTGAAGTTAGACCTCCAAATTTTTTTAAAATAATTTTCCATTTTCTCTAATATTTTTTCAAAACAGCAAGAAGCAAGTGGAGTACTGGAACAACCCACCAGGAGTCGCACCAGGTAGCAAACCAGGAATCCCACCAAGTACTTGACGAAGTTAATCTTGTCAAAACTGAACTCTCAAAGATTGATGACGAAAAGGATGTCTTCAAAGCTCAGAAAACTACCATGGTTCTGAACCAGGCGTTCTACTGGCTTCCTAATTTTTCCAAAGCAGCAATAAGCAAGTGGAGAGGCGAAAAGACTGAGACCTTGGAGATTGAAGCCGATAAGTACGTCATTGAAGCCCAAGAAGTTACCAAGAGCCCGAGGGACATGCCATCACAGAGTAGTATCTCAGCAATCAATGAAGTTGTTGTAGATCTGAAGGATCAGGAGCAAGCAATAATTGATCAACTTATAGGAGGATCAAAACAGTTCAACATCGTGTCCATAGTGGGCATGCCTGGAATAGGTAAGACAACTTTGGCACAAAAAGTCTACCATGATCCTTCAATTATATCTCACTTCCACATTCTTGCATGGTGTTGTATCTCCCAAGTATATAGCAAGAAAGATTTGTTACTAGAAATTTTAGCTTGCATTGACGAGAAAGATGAATATGCTGAAAGGAATGAAAATGATTTGGCTAACACACTTCGTAAACACTTGAAGCAAAAGAAGTATCTCACAGTTTTGGATGACGTTTGGGACACTGAGGCATGGAATGCTTTGAAAGAATCATTCCCAGATGATACCAATGGGAGCAGAATTCTCTTAACAAGTCGAAACCAGGAGATTCCTGGTAAGCCTCACCTTCTTCGGCTACTTACTGAAGAAGAAGGATGGGAATTACTACAAAGAAAGCTGGAAGTTACCAGGGAAGAAGGCTATCCTCCAGAACTAGATGTTCTTGGAGGCAAATAGCAAAAAATTGTAATGGGCTGCCACTGTCAATTGTCATTATATCTGGAATTCTTGCAACCCTGGATCAAGATGGTTGGGAGAAAGTTGCAGAAAGGCTAAGTTCAAATAGCGTGGTTGGTGCCACAGGACAATGCAAGAGTATATTAGAGCTGAGTTATGTACATCTACCTGACCATTTGAAACCATGTCTTCTTTACTTTGGAGCATTTAGAGAAGATCAAGAAATACCTATCCGGAGGTTGATGTGGTTATTGGTAGCAGAAGGATTTGTGCAGAAAAATGAGTTGGAGAGCACAGAGAAAATAGCAGAAGGCTATATAATGGCTCTAATTAACAGAAGCTTGGTTATGGTGGGGCAACGAAGATCCACAGGTGGGGTCAAGACCTGCCGCATTCATGATTTGTTACATGTGTTCTGTGTTGGAAAAGCCAAAGATCAAAATTTTCTACATTTGGTACAAGGGTATGATGAATTTCTTGAATTGGATGAGTTACAACACCCACGTCGGTTATCCATTTACTGTCAACCAAAAAGCAATTTGCGAAGTCAAGGATATTTTGTCCCCACCTACGCTCTCTACAACATTCTACATCTGGTGTTAGAAGGCGTGAAGTATCATACAGCTTATCCTGCATTCATCAGATGAAACTTCTTAGAGTATTGGATTTGGGACATATTAGTTTAGGTTTTACTTTTCCGAATGAATTATGCTTGCTCGTTAGGCTGAGGTACTTGGCAGTTCTAGGTAGGATGAACATCATCCCATCCTCACTAGCTAACCTCCTAGATTTGGAAACTTTTATTGTGACAACATATTATTCAGGTGGTGGCCTTTCTTTATTGCAAGATGCTTTCTGGAATATGCAGAAATTGAGGCATCTTCATGTACGTGGTGCTCTGATTGATCTTAGTTTGGCCAATGACAACCCTGAATCCTCGTCTGTCTTGTATAACTTAGACACCTTTTCTACTCCAAAGCTTTACGTAGGGCAAAGCTTGGATGCGATGATAAGAAAGTTTCCAAATATCCGCGAACTGAAATGCTGTCTCCTAGAATCAGAGGAATCTACTAGTGACAGCATCAAGATTGTGGCAATGGACTCTCTCAGGCAACTTGAATCACTAAAGCTGCTTCTTAGTCAGGTGAGTCCACATCATATTGAACTTCTTCTCCCCTCAAATCTTAGACGGTTGACCCTGGTGGACTTTTCTTGGAGTCTACTTTCCTCCGTTGGACAGCTATCCAATCTTGAGGTTCTCAAATTAATCGGACAATCTGATGGTGATGGGGTTAAGGAATGGGACATGGAAGAAGGACTCTTCCCCAATCTCAAAGTCTTGATGTTGAAATCCTTGAATATAGTCTGCTGGAAGGGCTCGGAAGATAATTTTCCCTGTCTTGAGAAATTAGTTTTGGAAGATTGTGTGGAATTAGAAGAGCTCCCTTCCTGTTTATGGGAAACATTAACTCTTCAATTGATCGAGGTGCATGGATGTCTATACTCTACTGGAGATTTAGCTCGAGATATCATGGAAAAACAGATGGACTATGGAAATGAGGATCTGAAAATCTGCATCTCAGGGGAAATTGAGGATACTTCTTCATGGTCCGATTGAAATTCAAAGGGAAGGTCAGGGTATTCTGAAAGATAATCTGCCATAAGAGTGAATATCTTCCGTTTGGTTTTGTTTAGAATGATGTAATGTTTTTTGGCTTTACTGCATCTATATGCTGAAATTGTTAGTAACAAATTAATGTAGTAGTAAAGAAAAATTGATTGTGAAAAAAATTGATGATCAATACACTTTTTGCCAGATGGTTATAATTAAGTCTAAAATATCTGCGGAATCCCTTTCATAACTCAAATTTTTTTGATTGAGTTTTTCGATAAATGAACTCTGCGAAGACACTTCAAAAGCCGGCAACTTTTGAAGTGCTCCGCAGCACTTAACTACTAAACCCCCCAAACCCCCCAAGCGATGTGGGAACTTAACCCCACAGGGCGCCCCGCTGCTAAGAAGTATTACATGTTTTACATTAGCTTTGCTTGAAAATTGGAGTTCACAATCTGATACGATCTTGAACTGATGCTTAGTCATGTCTGTTGTGTCATGGGAGATAAGAGGCTATGGATGTGATGGCATCTGCCATGCTTTTGGCTTGCAACTTTACAGCTCTGTAAAAGAATAGCACAATGATTTCTGCAGGATTGTTTGGATGATGTAATTTGTGGTAAATTCTGTAGCGTATTCATCTAATTCAAAGACAGGTGTGGAAAGTAAATTATATGGCAAAGAAGCAGGCACGTGGAAAGGTAAAGAATATGTCAAAGAAACTGACATGTACGGATGATGAAAGGAATATGTTTACAAAAGCAAATGGTGACCTATAACAGGCACGGGCCGGTTTGGAAATGTTGTGTATGGCAGAAGCTGAAAATGTATTGGGGTGTCACGGAATTAACATATATATAATGGGTCTAGAAATAAAACACCGAAGAGGAAGCGTAAGCAGTACTAAACACAGCCATGCTTGGTTTTGAAGCAACATATGGACATTATTGAATAACGAGTTGAGAGCCTTTAAAAAGTGAAACTTAAGAAAATAAATGTTTGAAATATTAAATTTTTTAATTATGTAATCTATTTTGATTATCGCTGTTCTAAATATATAGTCATTTGGAGGATTTCTAGAGCTGAAGTACTAAATTCTTTTTGGACTTTTAATAAATTTGAGTTATTTTTTTTTTTGGGTTTCTCACTTTTCTAACAACTTTTATCTAACCTACTAAATTTGAATTATTGAAATTGATTTTAATTGTTATATTAGTAAAATATTAACATTTGTGGAAACTGGGTTCATGGGAAGACAGATTGTTGCATGTTTCATATTTAATTGAATACAAATATCTCTACTTTACATAAAGCGTCCAAGACTGAGGAATAGTGGATTCCAATTGATTCTCCCGATTATGGGTATTACATCAACAAAATACTATTTATTTATGGGCATTTTACTCTGAATAATTACAATTATGTAAAATAAATAAATGTTTATAACTAAAATTGAAAAACTTTTACACTAATATTTTTGTGAAAGGTAAACTGATTGTCCTGTATTTAGCATAAACTGATTTTGAAACTAAAAAACAAATTGCCCATAACATACTTGCTCTTTATAATTTTTTTTTGCATTATATCAACAAAATACTAGTTATTTATGGACATTTTACTCTAAATCATTACATTTATGTAAAAACATAAATGTTTGTAACTAAAATTGAAAAAGTGTTACACTAATATTTTTACAAAAGGAAACTAGTAAATTTTGTATTTAACAATTTTTAAATATGTGAAAGTAAAAAAGTTTTTGCCCATAACATACCAGCTCTTTATGAGTTTTTTGCATTACATCAACAAAATACTAACTATTTATGGGTATTTTACTCTGAATCATTATATTTATGTAAAATACATAAATGTTTGTAATTAAAATTGAAAAAGTATTATACTTATATTTTTACGAAAGGGAAATTGGTAGATTTTGTATTTAACAAAATTTAAATATGTGAAAGTAAAAAAGATTGCGCCCATAACATACCAGCTCTTTATGGATTTTTTGCATTACATTAACAAAATACTAGCTATTTATGGGCATTTTATTCTGAATCACTACATTTATGTAAAATAAATAAATGTTTGTAATTAAAATTGAAAAGGTGTTATACTTATATTTTTACGAAAGAGAAACTGGTAAAATTTGTATTTAACATAAATTAAATATGTTAAAACAACATTACATGTGATTTATTAGTTACTTAATTTGTTGGTAAGAAACAAGGTTTTTTTTTTTGCAAAATTTGTTCATTAGATTTTTTCAAATAATTAAGATATAAAGGTAAATTTTCACAATCTTTTATTAGCAATAGACCCCAATTTCTTCCTAAGCAGTGACGAAATCAAGATTTTTTCCTTGGAGGGGAGGCCAAAATGATTGACAAATAAAATTATTTTAATATGTTATATTCAAAATAATTTTCATCTATTTAAATATATGGCATCCTAAAATATCAAATATTAACTTTAATTATAAAGGTATGTCTATTTAATAAATGTAACATAGTCATAACAAAAATTAAGACAATAAATAACATTTGATTAAATATTTTATAGGAAAAAATGCACTTTTCATCCTCAAAGTTTCACCCCAAACATATAGCATCCTCAAAGTTTCGTAATTTTGGCCAATTAAGGACAATTGACGGGAAATGAAGAATTGATCGTTAGAACCAACGATTTTACCCAACAAAAATGGGTAAAAATCGAATAGAGCCATTTTTAATGGAACAATTGCAACGGACAAAAACTCAATTCTTCTCCTTCTTCGCTCTGCCTTTATGCAACCCCAAAATTTTTTAGCACCGATCGATGTATGTTCAAGCGTAAATTGATATAAATATGCAACTTAAATTTTTTAAAAATAAATTACTACTGCATATCAGAAATTTACTTTTTGGAGAGTAGGTTTAGTTCATACTATTTTTCATAGTATTTTAAAATATATAAGTACAACAAATTTTAAATTATACCTATAATAATGTATTATACGAGTAATTATGAGTACTTACTAACTAAGGTACTAAGTTTTAATCATTGATAAAACATCTTATCGTTATTTCAAATAAACTTCCTAATATTAGTTTGAAATAAGTTTTAAAGTAAAATAGTACATGCGTCCCATAAATCAATAAATCTTGATTATTAATCAAATTTGCTATGTTATCAGTAATAATTACTATTTATGTATAAAAACTTACTATTATTTGAATTAAACTTACTAAGGTATATTATGAGTGCTTACTAACTAAGGTACTAAGTTTTAATCATTAGTAAAAACATCTTATCATTATTTCAAATAAGCTTTCTAATACTACTTTGAGATAAGGTTTTAATGTAAAAATTGTTCATGCATTCCAAAAAATGGTAAATTTTGATCCTTAATCATTTTTATTGCCATGTTATTAGTAAGAATTACTATTGATGTATAAAAACTTACTGTTATTTGAACTAAACTTACTCTTTTAAAAGTAAGTTTGGGATATCAAGTAGTAATCTATTTATTTAAAAATTAAGTTTAATATTTATTCCAATTTACCTTTTGAGGTATAAAAGTTACTAATCTATTACACTTAACTTACTATTTTAGATAGGAAACTTACTTCCATAATTTTAGGTGTTATTTTATTTAGGCGAATATGTCCAACAATAAATCAAATGATCGCTAAAAGTGTAACAACGTGTTATATCAGGTAAAAACTATTGCGCTATCATAACTATCGCTTAATATCTATATCTAAATGTATTGCTGAGGGGTTTTGGATAAAGAGCTTTCAAAATTATCAAAAATCTGAATGCTATTTTAATAGAATTTTACATTTTTTAATTAAAAAATATTTATCTCTTAACTAATCATGTAAGCGGCCCTACAAATCCTATAATCATACTTATATTTTTTCCACATTTCCCTTATGTTTTTTCCACTACCCCATAAAATTCAAACTCCTAAACTTTAACTAACGGATAATAACCACCACTGTAAAATGATATCTGCAAATTCCAATTCACATCTCACATTTATTACTGACACTTACCATATCACTTAGAGTAATAACTAACCGTTAATTTAAGAAATTCGCAACTACGAAAGTCAAATATCCAAAATTTAGGAGCCTGTTTAAATTACAATTTTCACAATTCAACGTATCTTATTGTCATAATATATTTTACTCTCACAATCATTCACAAATTATAAAGGCATTAAAAATAAATAATTTTTTTTTAAAAAATTAATTCAAAGGTAGTTAATTCACACACACACAGGTATACATACATATATATATTCTCATAATGCATATATATATATAAGATTATCAAATCGAATGCATAATATTGGTAAGTATTTCATTTTAAAATAAAAAAATGAAATTACATTTATTTCTATCCATATATCATTCATTTTCTAATGTAAATTTTATTATTATTTTAAGATCCATCTTTTGCAAAAACACAATTCTTGAATGATTTACAGTTTTTGTCATATTTTGAACTATTGTTAGACAAATCTTAAATTTGAATATGTTGGTATAATTTTTTAACTTTTTTCAAATTAAAATGGTATAATTTTTAATTTATTTTAATAATGTAAGTACCGTGCGTAGCACGGATATTCACACTAGTTGTCCTTGTATGATCAAGCCTGAGAGTTTGAGCATGTTTTGGTTGAATGTTATAATTCAAAATTTGGGGTTTGGAGGGAATAGGTTATATCCATTGTAATCAAAACTCAAACAAAAATGGGGATAAGCCTGGTTGTCACAACGAACCATATAAAGTGGATTTTTTTTATTTATTTGCAGAATGCTACCTTATTTTTTCATGCATCAGAATGGATTGATTACAAGTTGCATTTGCTTGCCTTTTGCTAGAATTTTGGCTAATTAACAAATTATACTAATTGTAGAATAGTAAGTTTGTAATCATTTTCAATTTTTGAAAAATTTGAAAGTTTGGATAACAATAACAACAAATCTTCCTAGTTACATGTAGAATATCACTTG